TTATACATATATCACTTCATTAATTATACTTATGTCAGTGATTCATATCTGCGTACATCCCTTATCTGATATAAGTATAGACTGAGAGATATCTAGAGAAACGGGCAAATTAGTCTCAATTCTCAAGAATAAAACGAAAGGTAAGACAAATGTTCATTTTTTCATTTTTTTTAATCCAAAAAAGTCGTCTTTGTATGCATTAATCATCAATACATATTCAGATATTGAAGGCTTGAGTTGTTTGTCACTAAAGCAACTTTAACCAACCACCAATCACCTAGGCGAACAAAGTCAGAACTTAACCCTAAAATATGTTTCAAAATATAATTCCACATGCTTTAGGTGAAGTGGCAGCTCACTGCACAATAAGCCCTGTGCTTAGTGTACTGAGAAACCAAGTCTATTCACAGGCTACTTTGAGATTTACTAAAGGGTTGTTCCCCATAGGGTGGAGTAATCATATCCTCCATATAATTACCAAGATATAAAAAAAAGGTATTTCCTTTCTTTGTCCAGTGATTTTGGCCTTGCTCTAACGAAATAATAAAACACAACTCATTCACAGCAAGTTCCATGCATTTGTAATTAGCTTAAACACGTTTTTTTGGTGCGGTGAAGGATACGCACGTTAGTCAGTGTAATCAACGATAGTTACATTGTAGTTTTTTTCTTGCAGCGAGTCAATTTTAATTGCAATTATCCCARGCCACGTTTTTCCGGCGTGGTGAAATAATTGTCGATCAGATTGAGGGTGTTCAGAAAGGATAATGAAATATGGCTTCGCTGGCTTTCGCCAAATCTATGGTCTACTCGGGCTTCTTCTTGACTGTCCTTTGTCATGCACTGTAGCTTGAACATTAGAGATAACAAAAATCACAAATATGATTAAGAATCTAGCAAAAAAAGCACAAAAAATGCTTGAATAAGTAAAAAATATAACTGCACGAAAAGAAAATAATTCATAGTTTTCTGTAACAAGTAATATATACTCGAAAACACATTTTCTGCATAATTTATAAAGGCTAAAAAGGTTTAAGAAAATTARTCAGGATTAAAGRTTACAAATACAGTTCTTTTTTACATATTATGAAATGTACAGCCTTCGAAAATAACTTAGTTACTTCACTGAACATCCATTAACTTCATARTGGCCGGCGAATTAAGCATTTTGCAAATGCAACTTCTCTTTGAAGAGACAATACCGCCGGTCTAAGTTTCGCGTAGCCGCAAATTTTACATCCGCATAATAACCTTTTTATAAAAATCGTCTACGTTCAAACGTATCCCGGAAAACACTCCTAATGGAACGAGATATGTTACATTTAGACGCGTAAAAATATTTCATGCGCAGAAAATAAATTTGATACAAAAATCTCCGGTTTCTTTTGAAAAAGCCTTGGAGCAAATTTCTTTATTTTCAAGTCAAGTTGAGTAGTATAGTTAGGGGTGATTGGTGTTAAGTCTGACAGTAAAGTTCCTCTGAGTTGAATGTCTTATTTAATTGGGTTACTATTCTACCATTATAATTGTAACCACTTGTGAAAAAGTAACATTAATCTTTACAATTTTTAGTGCCAACGAATACTCATGAAACGTTTTCAGTTGGACAAGTACTTGTAGCTCAATTACATCGAATACCGGCAATGAAATACTATGAGAAAGACATTTAGAATTCGATATGAAATTTTGGGAATCAAGACCCCGAAAGCTTTTGTTTGTTTTTTCTATTATGTAGCTATTTCTTTAATCATTTAACAAAAGCTGAAATATTAGGAAAATAAAATACTGTTATCATTTTGCTTAAATGCGGCATTTCAGTTTTTCAAAAATATATTTCAAACAGCGCAAAAAAAGTTAATTCAGGTGATAATGTATCAAAAGTTTTAGCGTGAAATTTGACTAAAGATTGGTTTCGCCTGATAAAATTAGTCACATTAAGTGGTATTTCATGCCCACCTCCTTGTTCTCCGAGGGTTTAAGAGCTACTAAACAAAATGATGCTTTAGGCGTGCGAGCTACTAAAAAAATGATGCTTTAGGCGTGCGAGCTACTAAAAAAATGATGCTTTAGGCGTGCGAGCAGGGAAGTAATTTCTTTCTGGTAGTAAAGAAAGGAGTACGAAAAATGATATGAAAATATCCAACGATAGAAGCACGATACGGTGATCCATTTGGGTCTGAATGGCACATATTTAAAAAACGAAGTTAGAGCAAAATTATACCAACCTCTTCGTGCTATCTTTGTAAAATGATGTTCATAAAGATTAATGATGATGAAAAGGATGTTCCGCTTCAGGTTGTGCTATTTTGATTTTGTAAAATTCCATTTATTAACAGCATGCACTCTTAAAAAGAGTTATCAATTTTCAAATAAAAAACCCTGTAGCAACAGTGTCTATAATTTCTCCTTGGTTGATATAAAGATTATATGAATATAGAAACATTTTTGATGCTCTTTTTCAAAAGAGCTACTGTATTCTTTCCAATGTCCTCTGAAAAGAGATGTCGCTCCATCGCATATTCTCCCGGAACATATGTTAATCTTTGACTCTATTTCAATTTTGTCAGAAATTAAAATAAGCTAATATTATTTTTTGTTGTTTGCATTGCTTTCCTTCTCCGCGTCTAAAATACTAAGTGTATTGAGCTGTTTCGCGTCCTTCTTTCAACAACTTTCATCACTATTTGAATCAAGAAGCATCTTTACCACCAAAATAGAATGCACTAAGAGAGACAAAAAGACTGGACACCGATGAAACGTTCCATYTATCTTAATGGGAAAACGCTTTCTCGTGAGATCAATTTAAACTTCTTACATTAAAAGACCACTTTTAAGATCAAATTGTCGATGACTGGTTGAGCTTGTTCACTGACGGGTTGATCATAGATGGAAACTCATTAACTATTCTACAATTATAGCATCTTTTGAAACAATTTAACAGTGACGACATAAAGGGCTTGAACTACAACGTAGAAACCTCTTTATCTTGGCCATGTAATAGGATACGTTGAAAATCAAATAGAAAAAATTACACGATTACGTTCGCCGCCAACGACAAATATCATTGATTAAGACTTGAGAGTCATGTTGACTGAAGAACAGATATTTTAAGCAAATATGGATTTCTGGATGTCACTCTGTCCAGAGGAAAGAATTACATGTACAAATCTAATCAATTCGTATTATCTTGTACAAAAGTCTTTTTATGGGAACGGATTTAACTTCTTTCCTTATTACCGTACCATTCCTTTTAGTTCCTAGGGTGATAGTGAAGTTTAAAAGATTAAAACGCATAAAAAAGAATGTCAAATGTTTACTGGCGAACAGGTGCCAAACTGTGGGCGCAACCGAGCATCAATTTGAAACACAAACTGTTTCTCTTGCACAACAATGAAGATGAGTAAATATCAGAACATCAATTGGTACATCTTTGTCTTTTGAAGAAAAAAAAACGCGTTAAAATGAATAAGAATTCCTTTTAATTCAGTGAATATCCTACGGACTCAAGTTTCTAAGCTAATGCGTGCATATAAGAGAAGAGTTCAATGTTATTAGCTGGTTAAATGGAGTCAATTAACGGCGATTCACTTCAAAACACCTGGCGACAGTGGACAAAGGCAATTACCAAAGGCCGGAAATCAGTGATTGCTATATTAGCCAGAAACACCCCGAAGGGAGTACATTAAGATAACATCCTTGACATGATACCCACGCAAGGAAGATAAGTTAAAAGTAGCTTCGCTTAACCAGCCTCACTAACTAAAGGAATGAGCCTTGACTCATTGACGCTCACCCAAGAACAGCATTGACACTATCAATCTACCATGTTACTAGCAGCCAAGTCCTTCATTTTCCTCRTCGTAGTGTTCACCGTTATTTTTCATATTGCGGCGTCTACACCTTCTTTGAAAATTCATCATAAAGGCCTTCGCGTTAAAGAGAGCCATAACCTATGCCGAGGAGAAGATTGCGCCAAAGAAAGTCAAGAAAACGGCGCTGTTGAATGCCCAGAAGGCAAACCCTGTTTGAATTCAGAGAGAATTATGAACAAGAAAGAGCCATGTACTCAAAAACGATGCGARGAAGATGAAAAACTAGAAAGAAAGGAAGAAAATGAGAACTGTGAGAGTAATGAAAGCGGCTGTCAAACTAAGAGAACGTTAAACAAACGCGGTAAAAGAATCGGTTCTGTCACACCTTGCCCAAACCATTTAACATGCGCAAGAAGTTTGACTGAAACAGAAGCTGAAAATTTAGGATTTGAGAATTCTCTCACYCTCAGGGGGTGTCCACCTGGTCTTTGGTGTAAAAGAGCGATCGAGAAAAACTGGAGGAAATCAGGACGCAAACCATCGCGAAGCCTCTCTGGATGTCCCCCCGGTTTGTGGTGTAAAAGAAGTTTAAGYAAATTACAAGCAAGGGAGTTAGGATTTGAGAGCTCGCTTAGTCTTAACGATTGTCCACGTGGTCTTTGGTGCAAGCGCAAAGCGTCTCGAGCCTTAAATGGATGCCCGCCTGGCCTATGGTGCAAACGGGGATTAGACAGATCTACTGCGATGAAAATGGGCTTTGAAAACGACGAAAGTCTTCAAGGTTGTCCCCCCGGCCTTTGGTGCAAACGAAATTCCTGCCCTTCAGGGCTTAAGTGTGCAAGAGGTTTGACGGAAGCTCATGCTAAGGCCATGGGCTATAAAATGGCCGACAGCCTTGCTGGATGTCCCCCTGGACTCTGGTGCAAGAGAAATGTCAAGTCAGGAAGGTCAGATGGTTTTAAAGTTTTCTTAGATCAGGCCAATAAAAAACCAAAGTGTCCCCCCGGTCTTTGGTGCAAACGAGATGTCAGTTTGTTTGATGCGCAAGGTAGTTCAAACGGAAACAAAAATTGCCCTCCAGGTCTGTGGTGCAAACGAGATGCCGAATTTGAATCGGATGATCAGCAGAGAAATCAYAAATGTCCACCGGGTCTTTGGTGTAAACGAGATTCCCGATATTCTCTTTGTCCCAAAGGYCTGCCTTGTAAAAGGCGTGCGAAGAAATACGATGACGTTGCCGAGCGATTTGWCAGATAACTGCAACAGTGGACTTACATTTCCCAAGTAAAATGAACTTTTATTTTATGTAAAATCTAGGCTGAATTCAGAAAAATTCACTGTTAACTATAAAGAAACTATATTGTCAAGAATATTAATAATATTCCAAAGCCACAAGATTAAGAGTTACATATACCTATAATGTCACAGAATTCATTGTTAAATTTATCAAATAATTACTTGGCATTAATGTCAAATATCAACAATTTAAGATTGTAAAAAAATAAATTTAAACTTAGAAAATCAATTAAGGATAAAGTGAAGTTTTAAGAATAATATTGTTAGTAAATTTGTGGGAATAAATAAAGCATTCATTTACATTCAAAGTTTTGAATTTCTCTCAATCATTGTTAGTAGATTATTATTAATTTCTCTCAATCATAGTTAGTAGATTATTATTCTCTATTAGGTATGTCTCAATTAAAACATTTTCTCGCCGGGAATCTAATAAATCTAGTTCTTTTTAATGAMGCGTAGTAYATTGCTGTCAAATGGGTCGTTATTTTCATAAAAAATAACACAGCGCAACCAAGGCAGCTGAAAAAAAAGAAAAGGACGCACTGCCGCACGCATACAAAAATGTCACTTACTCGGGCGCTCGCGCGCAAAATGCTTTGGCGGGAAATTTTGGCTYTGAACAAATATCGTTTGTGGTCGTAGTTTCATTCAAATTTTATCTTTTTTATTTTAATTGAGCAAACAAGTATTAAATAAACATTCAAGATTGAAAGTTTTGATGTTCAAAACATTCAAAAAGAGAGAGAAAGTTATGATACTGGGTACAAATAACTAAACAACAATGCAAGGTGTAATTCAGTTTTTAATAAAAACACAGCAGGAATATTGACAAATTTATTATTGAATCTATACTACAGTATCACTATCGTTATACAGTTATAACTACAATTTCGATATATAAAAAATACATTCAGGAGTTKATATAAATTTATATTACCACAGTTTCAATCTAATACCTCAAATACAATAATCTCCTTTACAAGACAACCGCAATTATAGTCGAAAATAAACCCCAAAATATTGTTAATTTCGACTAACTGTGCCTGTTATTTATTGTGATAATATTTTATTAAAAACAATGTGAAACTATCGGATGTTGAGGAATAAAACTTTAYAGGACTAAAGGTTCAGCTACATTTAGTCTCTATTGGAAAATATGCACGCATTTTCTCGATTCAGTGTCTTCTCTGTCCCTTGACTCCAATAGTACACATAAGTATTTGATGTTGTTCGTAASAGGTGAGAATCCGTGAGTTGTCCCTCGAGTAGTTCATGTCGTAATCCTTACCGTCAGCTGCCCTCCAAAACGACTATTTCATGGCGAATATCTTGTCAATTAGAAGTCTATAAGTTGGCCAATAGCTGGTGAAGTAGCAAGCGGTCTTGACGTTACGGTAGTTAAGGGACTAYTATCATGTAGACTTGTGTTGTGGCGACCAACTGGCGATTGAAATGAGCTTTGAAAATCTTTAAAAAAGGAGAAATAATGCAATAATTAATGATGGTCACCATTAAGATAATGATAATAATATAAACTATTATTAATCATTTTCAATATCATTAATAATTCAAGAGGAAAGCAATAGAAATYATCACTGTCATCATCATCATAATTATCATCATCAAGATGCTAACCTCTAGTATGTCTATCATGCAGTGGTGTATTTTGCACTAAGAATGAGGTATCGATACTTTCATCTGAAATTAAAATTGTTATGTGAGTAAGACATGGGATTTGCGCGAAGATTAATGAAGTCAATGCTGCTTACTTAGGAAGTCCCCATCACTTAGCCTTCTGTCACTTGGCTGCATAAAATCTAAAAAGTAAGAAAAGCACTTTAATAATTGACTTATGACTTGCTTGCAGAAGAGGCTAAGCTGGACCAAGAGAGTGAAATATGAAGGAATACACAAAACAACTCACCTTTAGAAGTTGTCCCATTTGTTGTCAACCACAACAATTTGTTATCAATTCTTGGTGAGCTTGGGATTGGAGAGTGGACACTATTCCAAAGGTGTTCAGATGAACTTGCACTYATTTGCACCTGTGTTYCAGYCSCTCCACTATTKAGTTCCTTTTCTGAAGAAGWTGGCTCTTCTGGTGATGAAAAGTGATCTGGTATMACTGGAGAGTCTAAACTGAAGATAATGGCTTCTTCCCTGTTCTTTCTATGAGGAGACTCCATTAGAAACTGCTCACTTAACACTGATGTTGGTGTAGATAAATTGCTTGATTTGATGACATTATTGTCTTGAGGAAATCTTGACATGTAATCATTGTTACCATTCTCAGGGGACCCCCCACTGCTTATAGTAAGAGGTGTCAAAAGTGCCCCCTCAGTACCCCTGTAAGGATCCAAGCTGCTYTGTGTGTTGGCACCTGGTGTTACCTGCAATRTACATAAATTGCTTAAAGAATCCCAACCAACCACAATACAGCACACGCTAGTTTTTTGGATTGTAAAATTCAGAATAATCAACTGCAACATCTATTCAATCATTCACCCATCCATTTTTCCATGTATCAAACAAATTGTGATGACGCTATAATTTATCACCCCTAATATTGCCCCTTAGCAATCATAATCCTTAGCAATCAAATGTTTTGAGTGACACCATTATGTGATAAAATAATCAACTTTAACCATCTGTCCATTCAACCATATTTTAATACATAATAAAGCTACGATAGTCTTACATGTATATTGTAATATGTTATTTCTCACCTGCTGGCCCTGTTGGGCTTCCTTTATCTGATCTAACCTTTCAGCCTGTATAGTTTCCATAGCAACATCCTGTTGCCCATTCCCAGGACTCCTCTCTCCAGTATTTTGTTGTGATGATAAATATTTGAAATCATATTGTTGAGCTGCTTTGATTTTGTTTAATCTACTCATGAGGTCTGACTGCTGCATATCTTTGAATGAATCGGTGTTGTTGGTATCTGAAAAACAGTAATTTATTGAATAGTTATTTTTACTTATTTTACAAGAATGCCAATCTTCTGACTGGTTTTCACATGAGGCAAACATACCATCATTTSCAGTGGTTTCAGTTTTCTGAGGCTGATCTTCATCATCACTAACAGTCCATGCTCCAAATGGTGATCTCTTRKGCTCTTGTTGATCCTCAACGTCATCATTCCAACTATCATTCATAACCACAGGTTCAAACAGACTTATCTTTGGACTTTTGGAGTCSAATACAACTCCATTATCGTGATCCATAGGAGTACCTTTGTCATRTGGCATATGGGGTAAGCCTGGACTTAATGTMTTTTCTTTGCTCAGGGACAATTTCTCTTCAAATATTTTACYCAAAGAGTAMGGGCYTTGAAGTTTGTCAGAGGTTGTTACTGATGAACTTRMAAGATGTTTTGAGAWTGGWGTAAACTCAATCAGCTTCTGAATCTTTGGTGTTTCTCTAGCGAAGGGTTTCTGTTCAACTTTGGAAGATAAAAATCCATATTCTTGATTATCTCTTGTCATAGYGCTTCCACTAACTGGTGTTATGAAGGTGAATGGAGTCAAATTATCCTCTTCAAGTTGTTTGTCGTTGAGATTGCYATCCTTGGAWACACCAGGTGTTTGAAAATCAAATGGAGTTAAAAGCTGCATACRAGGTCGATTGGAGTCATTTCCATGRCGATCCTCATTKCTATGGTGATTTTCATCACCATGGAGATCATCAGGAGATGAAAACAGAGYGGTACGGACCATCTGTGTAGACAATGGTTTAGTGACTTGATCTAAGATGGTTTCAAGTAAGCCACCAGATGAATTAAGCAAGTCTCCTTGTGGAGTWATTGTCCCATCACTCGATAAATCTATAAAAATATCATTTTAGTCATAAAAAACATTAATTAAAGGGACAAATATTTGTACAATTTTGACCTATTTTCTAAAGATAAGTTTTTTGTACCATATTTTTCAGCGGGTGCAGGAGTACGAGTTATAAGATCACGAGATACAAAAGCTGTCTCACCTAAAATTGGGACAAAAAAAGAAGATTGAAACAAAATTATTATTGTAACATTATCTCATGCAATGTTTGGATGGAAAATGAAAACATTCAAAGCTGTTACAAGATTTGAATGAAAATATTTGAAAGTGTTGTATGGATTGAAGGAACAAAATCTACAATTATACAAGCTGCTCACTTAATGCTTCCAATGGGTCATTTATTGCTTGTGGTTTTGGTGAGCTTGACCTTGAAGACTGAGATGATGAGCTTCGTGAGTCTGGCTTGTCTGCTGATAGTGCTCCAATAATCTTGATTTTCAAGGACATTACACACAAAAAAAAACACACACACACAAAATAAGCAAATGAGAGGAAATAAATCTCAGTGAATTAATAACATGACAATTCATATTTTAAATCATTTCACGTTTTTTTTAAGTCAGATTTACATTTACTTGTCACATGGGACCTTGCCACACAGTTTTTTAGGGCTTCTAATGAAATCTTTACATTTAGCMTTCCAGTGATTTGAATGCATCAATACCTGACTAGCAACATTAGCAGTTGCAGAYGATTTTCCTTTGTGTTTTAAGCTGCCTCTAAAAGAGGTTCTTCTTGGCTCTGTTCTGGCAACTTTAGAAGTTTGATCTACAGCTAATGGGCTTATAATTTCAGTTGCCCTTGTTGTTGTTGTRGCTTGRCGTCTWGCWGATGAGGAAAGACCCTTCTTGGATATTATCCTGTTCTGTTTTTGTTGTCCAATCTTGTAATGATTTCTTGGATGTCCAGTTTGGATGGTTTTAGGTTCAGGTRTATTTGTTTGGTGTGAAGGCTTCACTTTCCTTGTTCTCTTACTACAATACAAAGAAATGCATCTATTGTTTAACTACAAGACCAAGACAACACAGAATCATGTTAGTTAAAAAGCTGATTATTATATACCTTTCTTGTTGGCTTAGTTTGGACAAGTTAGCTGCTTCAGCTTCAAATAAAATTAACAAAAATTTAATAAAATTAATAAAAATTTAATAAAATTAATAAAAATTAATAAAATTATTAAAGTTATTTCTCTGTTTTATACACTGTACCAAAAGTACAACATCTCAGAGTATTTATTGCATGTTTTATCCCATCCAAGGCATAACAGTATATTATGGAAATGAATTTATACTGTAAATACATTCTTAGTAACATAACAACTGTATGGATATCACAGGATATAGAAGGTTATACCTGGAGGTCTTCTTCCTCTAAGTGAATCTGACCAGGCATGGATGACATCTGGAGTAGATACTAGCAGCACAATGATTATGTCTCATTATTCATCCATTCAATCATTTGTTAACTTCTTTAATGTATTCATTTATTTGCTTATTTATTATTGCAATCATTTAATTATTTTATTAAGTTTTTATTCTTAAATAATCTATTTAGTCATACTTCTATTGATCMATCCATCAATCCAAACCTGTGGCAATCTGTCAACCCATCCATTTATCTCTTTATTCTTTCATTCATTCATTTACTAATCCCTCAACCCATCTATTCATCTATTAATCCAGTATTTATTCTTTTATTCAGTCAATAATTCTCACCAGCATTAGGTGTTCTCTTCARYGATTCCTGGAATGATGGTATTCTTTGGCTTACAGGTGTTTCTGCTGCTGCAAAGGACACTGGTGGTGTTGCAGGAACCAAACCAAGACCAAGATTCTTAACACAAAATAAATTAATCATTATTACATTCACTAATTAACTTATCGTCATTATATTTCATGAGCTTTTAGTCAGATAAGGGTTTTCCATTGGATCAAATTATGGATTTTGATCTTATGTTTAAAAACTAATGAAATGACAATGACCTTCATTGTAAATTATAAATGACTTTGGTTAAGCCAGTCTTCTGTGTGACAACAATTTTCCATATTACAAAGATTGTTGTATGCTCATGACGATGTGACATAAGTAAAGAATAGAAATCTAAGAACATTATTGATTCTTACAAAAGATAAAGGGTGCGAAGGGCCTTCCAATTTCACCATCTCTTCATATATCCTACTCTTGAGTTGTTCTACAGATTGCTTCAATTCTGGAATTGTTTCTTTGGTTAAAGTTGATCTAAAAAAACAAATGAAACAGCCATAAATAAAGACATTTGCTGGGCAAACAATCAGGTGTCGTTCTTTCTCCTAAGAAACCACTAAGGGTTTAATTTAAGCATCTATTGAAGCACAGATGGTGGAGCAAATGCTCATGTTCAACTGGTATGATAATATTGGGTTTATATAAGGAGTCCTTCAATTTGAATGATCATTATTCTCATTATTACCTGAGATATTCAGTATTTGAAAGCAAGGTTTGGTGTTTATGGATATCATTTTTTATTTTAGGAGAATTGTCATCAAAACTTGGCACTGAATCTGGAAAAATTAAGGCATTTTAGTAATCGACGTAAATAACAAAGAAACTGTCAATTAGGAAGTACGCAAAGGAATTGTCTATTAATCTCTATAAACAACAGATGTAGCATGATTCATATCCTGTATAGATAAAAAGATAATAAATTCTATAAAATGACTTGATTCCTTGCAGTTTGTTTAAACTGTTGTTACATTAATCCTCTATTCACGTGATGTCACTGCAAATGGACATACAGTGCCCTGTGCATGAAGTTAGATTAGGWGTAAAATGTTACAAACCTTGTCGTATTCTTTCCTTGATCAAGGTGAGGGAAAGATTCCACAACTGAACAAGGCTAAAATGATTGTTACAAATGTTCAGTTAATGCACTAAAGAATTAAAAATAAAATCAGCCTTTTTTTATTAAAACGATTTAAATTTTGGTTTAAACTGTACCTCAGTAAGTTAAGTTTTCCACCAACATAAGTATTGCTGATTTTTTTCTGAAATTTGGAAATCAACAGTCAAAATTCTCTCACAGTTCCCAATTTTTTTATCAACTAAATGGGTGATAGAATGAACAGAGAGCTAATAATACATAAAACCAAYATCAAATTTGTGATGCAACTTCATACTCATCATTTCGAGTAGTTACCTTGTGGATATCTCTTTCAAATTCTCTTAACAATAAATCAGGAATCTAGAGAAAAGTAGAGATTACAGTAAACATTTTCCTGACAATCTACTTAAGAAACATAGACTTTGTTGTCTAGTTGCTAGTTAGCAACAGCTACAAGTTACAGTTTTATCATTGTCCATTTGATTTATCCAAGACATAATAAAGTCATGTAATTCCTTAGTAATACTGCTTCATGCCTCTCTCAATCCAGGTGTAGCAATTGTGTCTAAGTTGATTAAACTTTGAAGGCAAAAATGGGYATTTCCCTATAGTGATATAAGATATTATTTACCTTGATTTCAACATTTGTTGCATCTAAACAATGTTGATTGGCTTGGTTACTAACAAYGGAATCCACAACCTTTAAAAAATACATCAATGTAAATGACATTAATCATTAATTAACGAGCCAGAGGTGAGGTGCCAACAAGCGATTACAAGAATGATATTAAGTTAAATGATCTTCTGCCTGCTCAGTCAGTAGTTCAAAGTTGACAGACATGACAATATTTTTCAAAAGCTCCTAACCTGAGGCTTGTGTTCCAGAAAATAGTCTTCTAGCCCTTTCCATAATGTCCTGACCTTTTACCATGATCAATAAAAGTGTCATTATGTTAAAAARGTTGCCCTTAATACACACAGTCACGGGTTGTTCTAGTCTTAACTAACTTTGGTCTAATTAGACATAATCATCTTACTTTTTGTAAGTCTCGTGTTCTTTGAATGGCATCCACTTCTTTTTGGTAGTCACTACTTAATGCAATGCTGTAAAAAAGTTAACATTGTTGTTACATAGACATTTTTACCACAAAAACTAACTTTATTCATCACTATCATATTGCCATCATCATCACCCTACCTTTTTGCCATTTGCTTTCCTTTATAATTTACTTCTTTTTGCAGTTGTTTTTCAAGATCACGTTTTTTCTTCTTTAGACTTCTATTTTCTTTATTCAAATCACTGCGAAAGAAAAAARAGCAAAGTGCATTCACCTCCTTCTTTATTKTGCTTCTTGGRCTCCCTTTGTACTTTTATACACAGGAAACCCATGAACACAAATAATCACAGCTGTAGTAGTTTGTACTATTAATATGTTATTAAAGGACATACGTTGCATAGGCTATCCACTGTTGCTGAACTTCTAAACAATATTGTGTCAAGTCTAAAAACCTGTTGAAAATAATAATAAAAAATCATTAAAGCAATAATACCCGAGTTTTGAACTCTTTTTTTACACAGCCTTTTTGCACTGCAATGAGGCATTGATACAAATAAAAGAATAATTGCATGTTTCAGCATTTAAGTCTGTGTAACAATTTAAATAGGAACTTTACACTAAYACAGAAACAGTTCGTTTGTCTTGTCACAATATAAATCTCACTTATAAAGTTTAAGAAACAATTCAGTAACGAGTACCTTTTTCTATGCARCGAAGTATGAATTTTAAGAGATTTGGAGATGACTTGCGTAAAGGAGTGATTATGAATTGATTTTGATGGAAAAGTTGGTATTGACACATGGCGACCTGATTAAAAAACAATACGCACAAAATTTCAACAATATTCAACATAAACTTGTTTATCATTCTTAGAGATTTTGAAAGCAAATTCACCTTTTTCCACTAATAATTATTTAAGTAATATTTGTAATATCTAATTGTAATTTATAAACACTTGAAGTACTTACTGTGGTCCCGAAGCATGACAACTTTTAGCACATACATGGAAAACAATCGCAGAAAATCATAAAATTTATCACCTGAYAAAAAAAGATGAATATATTGAATAGAATTACATAATTATAACCAGTTAATCATKCAATATATAAAAGAAAGAATAAGTATTTAATAATGAATAAATATTTACCTCCAGGAGAGTGAAACAAGGATTGAACAACTCTAGGAAAATAGGTATCACTCTCCTCCTAAAGAAATCAGATTAAAGATAGCAAATAATAAATAATAATAACAATGATGATTTGTAGTAAAGCCCTACATGCACACTATCATGCATTTTGCCCTAGACTTTGGTCSTTTTTGTGAAGTGCAGAGATATGGAAGAGTTGAGGACACAATATGACTTCTTTATCTTCCATAACATCAAYATTACTAACCTTGGAAAGTCTTGTCACCCAATTATAACAGGTTTTACGGAACTTTTGTTCATCTACTTTGTTTTTAACTGGCCAACAGTCTCTAACAGATCAAAATAATAGCAATAAATCTTGGTCTTTTGAAGCTATATAATCTATAAACGGTATCTATTAGACCTCTCGGCAACACCCACGGGGATGAAAGCTGTCAAGGTCTATTTGTTTATTATGACAAATACAGTATCAACCCAATTGGTACAGGAAACTGCAAGGGACATTCTCCCAACCCCTAGATCTGTTCAATTTCMCACTTCCCTTTATTTTACATATATTTTAATCTTTCCAATGTCAAATTTCCCCCTCCACCACACCCATGGGGCCAATGATGATTGGTGTTCTTACCTGAACTCCTCATACGTCATCTGAGGGTTAAGTTTGGAAAACAAGAAATACATCACAACCTCCATTACTTTCTTATTAGGAAGAGCAAACATGTCCCTAAAATAAATACACAATAACTTACAACAGAATTATATGATTTCTCATTAATATTTCTAAATTTAGTGCACAATAATCAGTGCGTAGAATAACCCTATCTTTTAGCAAGAACCAACCTGTTGAATGGTATTTTCTCTCTGGATTCCATAGTTACAGGATCGAAATCCAACAGCAACAAGTTTGTATAAACTATTTCTCGTTTATCGAGWGGATTCGGCATTATCCCGACGGATCTTGATACCATCATATTAACTAACTAATTTAGCTGTCCTCTAACGTACTTCCAAGTGAAAATTTAGATTAAGAATCCTAAATTATCGCAGAATTATAAAACCAAAATAAAATCCACCGTTCCGCCATATTGAAGTTTAGCGCCAAGAAATGTACGAAAACACCCGGATGTACAATATGGAATCGAGGCTTGTTCGTAAACAAATGARCCCTGGGTAATATTCAAAATGGCGGCACTTCCAAGAGTSATATTTAAAGGAATTGCTACTTCAAACTTAAATAATGCCCGTTTAATAGGAGTTAGAAGTTTACTAACGCTAAAAGCTGGTTCAMCATCATCTCAGGTGACACTTTCTAGAAAATTTAGTGATAAAGTTGAAAATACAGAGAAAAAACAGTCAAAAACYGAAGATACTTYGAACAAAACAGAGAAGGAGGAAGAACCAGATCCGTATGCACCATATCCAAATGACATCAATCCTACTACTAAAGAAAGAGGAGGACCTAAAGGACCTGAACCTACGCGATATGGAGACTGGGAACGTAAAGGGCGATGTATAGACTTTTGAAGAGGAAAGATTGGGGAATTTGAATGATGAAAAATGGAACATTATTACATAACTACAAGATGGATTGCATAATAATGTTTTGGTCTTGCAATGGATATTGAAGGTTCCTTACAGAATACCATGTAATATGAAAAAATAGGACAAGCGTGATAATATATTAATATTCAGTTTGTAAACTTTGACAATAAGCTAATATTGGATGGTTCTGTATGTTCAAACGTTGATGCACGCATTTTGAATCATTTTTACTCATAAAGCAGATAGAATACTATTATGGCATTGTGTGCAAGTTGATGTTTGCGCGCGTATTATTTCATAAATGTAAAATATATTAAAGGGTGCAATAATTGTGATTATATTCTTTTTATTCTGCTCTGAGTTTTGCGGTTATACTTACAGTGTAATATCAAAATAAAAATAAACATCAAAAATATAACATTTGMAAATAAGAATTGATGAAAACAAGAATATTCTAGAGTTGAAACGGTCCAGCTCAACTCGAGTGACTTTCTTATATGGTGTTATMTATTTTACTCATTATTTCACCGGTATGTCAAAATACCGGCAATCAGGCGTATGCTAGGATKACTCTTGMAATTGAATGTAACTGAGATTCAGAAAAGGAGGAAAACCAATTTTACGAGGAACACAGGATAATGTGGGAAAGTGCAACCYCCGTCTCCATGTGGTTCCTGACCACGTTGGTAAGACTGCTCTTGACCTTGAGATAGCTGAACAACGACCTCCCAGTTGGTGACAAATTCCCATTCAAGACATTCAACTTGAATTGTCGACRCATCAGGTGTCCAATAGCAAATTTCATTCGATGATTTTGTTCAAACTTGGTGATAATTCGCAGGGGTTTTAATTCAATTTTTTTGCGTGGGCTAATAGCCATTATTGCGGGAAAACGTCTATAGACGTATGATGTTTCATCTTTTCATAAAGAAGTGTTTAATAATGGAAAACGTTTTCAAAGTTGTAGATTTTTTTACCACACGTAGTGCACAGCTAGAGCTTCAACGTGCGAATGTGGGACAAAAAGGCRCGTTAGGAAGCAGCTATTAACGCAGCAGGAACAACACCAATAACTATTGTATACAATCCTTTCACTTTATTTATTATCTGTTGATTTAGTTTCTCTTATGAGAGAGGGTTTATATTCTATATAAATATCTAAATTATCTTATATCACAAACTTATAACTATTTTATCAACACACACAGTTGCAAGCCTCCATAGCAGACGTCTCACGAGGCTCAGTCTGCTGACTGACAACACAGCTGCAATGCCTGTCTATTTCTAACTTTCTAAATCAATTTTTCTTCAATTTCCTTTACATATTAAATATCAAACACAGATATAAATAACTGAATATCAAAAAAGATCTAAAAATCGTCTGGATATGTATGAATAATGATGTCAGTATMAATATATCTTACAAAATCATTTTTGTCTGAGGTTTTTTTACATAATACAATGACGTATTTTAGTTCAAGTATATATCTTTTGTTGTCCAAAATATTTTTACATCTTAATTCGTGTGTTCTCTGGAAGTCGTTCAAAATTTACTATAGTAKTATTCAACATTTTATCGATGTGTAATAGTTCTTGTGGTTTGCGGCACCCTTGCAAGAATATCACGATAACTGAAAGAAAAATTGAGAACGAAGTTAGTATTCATTCGTTAATTAAATTTCTAAACAAATGGGTTGTCTTGCAATTATGTTGATTATTTGGAAAATTCCGGATAAAGGCACAAAATTAGGTGTGTGGGTGGAATAGATTAAAAAAAGGAAGAAAGCTGAAGGTTGGATGAAGGGGTCGCTAACTGCAAGTTATATCGGAAAAAAGGGCCAACTACTTACACATTTGAAACAATATATAACAACTGATCACTGTTTARGATTTTTGAAACATTAAGAATTACTTACATCGATACAGCTTATAACATTGAATTCAAGCAGCAGTGAAAGCACAATAAAAATTATGTAAAGAAGAAACATAATCCCCCCTAGTAGCTTTGACATCCGCCATTTTGATAACGCAATAGTTGTGACGACAGAAACAAGCATTAGAAAGAGCATAAGGACAGAACAGAACAGGCCATCACTTCTAACATTAATTGGTTGGCCGGCTTTGCTACCAATAAAAGCCATCCACGGAATAGGAAGCCTGAAAGAAAAAAAAAACTTGTTATACTAGTTAGGCCAAACAGATGCTACAGTCAACCTGTATGAATTAAAGGTGAAGCAATACTACCCTCAAAAACAAGCACTTTCTCTTTTTTACGTTTCGTTACACGTTATACAGCTAATCTTAAATAAACGATTTCATTACCAATACCTACCCTACAGTAATGTCAAACATATTGCTGCCAATGGAACTGGACACAGCCATGTCCCCAAAGCCTTTCCTGGCTACTAACACACTGGTGATTAGGTCAGGAATACTTGTCCCTGCTGCCAGGAAGGTCAGGCCCATTATCTAGTAGATAGATAGGCGCAATATTTAGTAATGAAACAAATGTGACAKAATATGATCAGTCTTTTCTGAGCATTTTCTGCTTGTGATTTCGCAAGGCAAAAAGTTGAAAAGCACGTTTAATGTGAATGAGTAAGTTCAGGAGATTTGTCTGTGAAATACCTACTTTGACACACGTTTTGTAATAACAAAGGGTCTACACAATAGCAATAATATACGACTTACTGAAGTTGGAATTTCGAAAGTGTCACCGACTACTGTAGCCCACCAAACCATAAGATACGAAAACCCGCCAATCCAAATAGTGGACATAAAGAAAGTCCATGGATAGAATCTCGCCTTTTCCTGTGAAGAATAAGCAATAAAATTTCATTGTGATGTTAACCATATGATTTGAGTTCCCATCTTTATTGTTAATATTTTATTATCAGATGCGTGTGCAGGAGGRAAGGACGGAGACCCAGAGGTTTCCAAATCCCCAATTTTAGTAGAAATATCTTTGAAACATGTGGCTTTATTTGCCAAATCAGGAAACATATTGYCTGACAACTTGTCAGGTGTTAATCCAAAATAATGATAGTGAAATTTTGCGTAAATCGCCTTTTTTACACGGTTATGAAGCAGATTAGGCAGCTTGGAACACCCAATATGAGACCCCTGCRCACAACCATGATTATTTCTTGTACTTACGGGTTTCCGAACATCAAACATTGTACAATACATAGGAAACATCAACGGTGCTTTTACGATATAAACTAAACGATCTTTCCATCCTTCTGGCCAACTTAGATCAATAGGTCTAGTGTCTTCAATCTAAAGAARAAAGGTTATGCCTTAAATATACCTAAGTGGCATTAGTTTTTTAAACTAGCCCAACAAAATACAAACAGGGTTGACCACTACACGTGCTTTCTCCCAGAATGCCTTGCAGCTTACACAGAAATCCCAACAAACTGCCATTGATACAAGAACCAATGAGACAGACTTATTAAACTTAAAAATCAAACATATCATAMATCCTACACAGTGAAGTTTAGAAAGGATTAGACATATTCAAAATAGCAGTACAAACTTCTCTTTTTTACAAACTTACTGCATCGATATCCTCAGCATCAGGAACTAAATCATTTTGTGATGACACCGTAGCAACCATTGTTTGAGATATTTTTGATTCTGTTGAGATTTTTCTTTCATTGTGGTTTTCTACACACATGCCAGGTATGGGGGATTCTGCACCAATCATGGAGCGAGGTGGTAAAATATCCACAGTTGTTGACGTCACTTCACTCAAAGAGGTGCCTGCACCTAAATCTTTGTCAACGTAAAGTTCCAGAGAAGGTCTCATATCCCAGTATTTACTAGCTGGGATGGAGTTTGTTTGAATTGTGCCATTATTAACATTTATTGAGGTTTGGTTGTAATGTGTTGATGATTTTCTTTGTACATCAGTTGATAAGTTTTTCATTGTGTTCTCTTTGCTGTTATTTGCAGGATCAGTAGACATTTGTTTCAAATGTTTTATACGYACTGCCATGGATGCTACAAGAATGATGACATAAATTTACATTTGTACTTATAACAGCAACCTTCAGACATTATTCATTMAGAATGCATTTCATTTTATTGTTGAATTAAGTTTGAAAACATAGTGAAGTCAGTTAATTAGGTATGTGACATTACCTAATAGTTTAAAATAATGCTTATCTTATTTGGCTGTTTTAACTAAAACCACTTTAATTGCATTAATGTGTCAAGTGTTTCCCCCTTTCAGTCAACCATGATTATGCTTTGGCTTCCTGTTGCCCAAAGCCAATAAACATTTAGAAATGAATGGCGCAGTGACACTATTTTATCTGTCCATATCCACTCAATAACTGATAGAAGCAGCTGAAGTGATAATAAGATATTCCAAGCAGAAAACTAGGTGACGTTGAGTTCAGAAAACAAAAGAAAAGTGGTGCTTCAATGAAATATAAGATATAAATCCCTGAAAGTGCTWAAGGCAGAAAAGGACAAATAAAGATGTAAGGGAGGGGTGGGTACTGACATRAAAATACTTACCATCCCAAAGAGGGTCAATTGTATTGATAACCAACTGAAGAGCACCATAATGAAAGCAAGGATGATCTGAAGTGCTTTTGTTGTTAGTACTCAAATACTCCATTGCTTTCTGTATCATGGGAAAAAARACAAAGTAGTCATTAATAATGATTTAATGTGAAACAATCGATCATACTCTCACATTCCTAACATATTAGACAAATAACCTTCACAGTTCATTGTCTCAATAAGCATTTTACAATAGTACAAAAAATATGTTCAATTACAAAGTGAGTTGCCAAATAAACCATCTAGACTCTTGTTRTAGCATYAGTTTTCATGTGTKTTGAAAAATTAAWAACTCTTCATTAAGAAGTGTATTATGACAGGTTGCCTTGGTTACTTTAGCCATGTTTTGTGATTGATGTCATCCCGTGTTAGGTTTAGGTTTACAGTTTTGAAAGATGACAGATTTGAGCATATCCTTAATCTTACTAAAGCTATCATCACATGTCAACTAAACTGTGCATTTGTTTGTCAAGYGGCTAGCCTACAATGTCTTATCAAGAAGCAAGTTTTCTTAACCTCTCAGCTAAAGAAAACCAAGGTTTTCACTCGATATAAGCAGCACAAACCAAAGAAAGACATCATATATTGAAAAGAAAATATTTTGCTTTCAATGTCYTTTGTTGGACTTTGACCAGTCAGGCTTATCAACCAAGCTAAAATAACACCATCATATCCACTGCTTCATATCACTATGCTCAAACAAAACAAACATTTAGGATTAACAATCTTTTTAGATCACTTATAAGTGATTTGTATCCTTAAAATCTCTTGTGCATATATCTTTTTGTACTATAAATTATTTTTGGTTGTGTGGAAGTAGCACAAAACGATACGTCTGTATTACTTAGAACATAGTTATCTTGTTGTAAGCACTAAATTGTTATTTTTGTCTTAGTTTAATGCAACTACAGACTAAKAGTCTGTTTATATGGATGTTCATGAGCCAACATGCACTGTTAAATGAGCTAAACTGGCACAATTGTTCTGAGTCCTGTTGGCAAATGCAAACAAATGATATCAGTCCCTGCTTAKGTTGGCTCAATGCTTCCATATAAATAGCCYCCAACATCTGCAACTGTATGATTATATCAAATATATAATATTRTATAAATATATTATTTAAAAAATGYCTCATGCAATGGATCCAGTAAAAAAASTCCCAGACTTCCCAAACATTCWAAAGGATAATGATTGCCATGTTTATGAAAGAATCTATTCCTTGTTCAGTCAAATGTGATTTACCGACATATCAATTTTACAAAAAAAAGTGTTTTATTGAGTTGTAGGTAAAGATTTAGCTAATTAAACCTTGCATGATGATCATGAGCTTTCAACAGTTTTACAAATTTTCTTTGAACCTTTATAGTAACTCATTCAGAAACTACTAAAAGCATGATGAAGTGTTTCTTCCACTACAAATGTCCAAGCTTGAATGTGGAACACTGTGCATGTTAAGAAGAAAAACCTGATATGATCTTCTAATGGTGTGCCAATCCATCCAAATTTCCATTTCTTTACAAATGTTTAATTTCATAAATCATACTTTTTTGTTCATTTAATCCTAGGATTAACCTTCTTTCATGGTTTTCATTAAGAACCCTTTTTTGTTGACACACTATAAACACCCCTCATAACAAACATTCCTAAAATGGGAATTATGAACATTTGAAATTACTTAAACCSAAGTCAATGACTTTGATTTATTATGTATCTGAGTGCACGTTTGCCATCAATAATTATGCTTATTATCAATACTTATTCTAGCAAAGCACAAAGGATGTCTTTTCAAAACAAACTCATTTTTCAATTGTGCTCATTCAAGTGAGTCATTTTTGTACAAGTRCTGGTTTTCATAAAATGGGTATAATTTAACATGARTGAATTTATGAAAAAAAAGAACTTTAAGTGCCTTAACAGGTGCATAAGATACGTCCATAAAGAATATCAACCCTCAAAGTGTTTTTCATTGGTTACCTAGCAACACTATTGCCAATATTTAAGATTATTTTGACAAGCCATCTGCCTTCACGTATATTCACAGTTGAATATGATAAATCTTACTGTGAGGTATCAAAAACGTAAATTTACTATTACGTAAGAAAAATGCCGTTCARCTATTCCTAAATCCCACAATTGCTTCCTGCCTATTCCCAGACAAGTGAAATACGCGCGAAATCAATATCATTAATGAAATACCCCATGAAATTTGTCGATTCTTTGGCATTTAAATGGTATTCGTGCCACACTGGCATTTTGCTAAACTTCTCAACTGCTGCTTAATGAGATGTATTTAAAGACAATTATTTTATCAAGACGTGATCTTACCTCGAGATAGTGTTCCGTCTTAACCCCAGGGTTATTAGATTCACCATCCACTTTACTAACTTTATTTGATCGTAGAAAACTCTTCACAATTCTTTCCAATGAATGATTAAATTTCATGAATAGTACATATAAAAGGTACATACAAAATAAAAGTAACGCTTCCCACCAGCAAATAAGACCGTCCAGGAAAAACACAATCAATAACAATATCGCAATGCTGTAGAATACACAATCTCGGAATAGTGGCCACCAAGTTARTGTTAAGACTCGTTTAGAAAACATTGCACACATCCCRATCACAAACAGTACATTAAAGACAGCCGACCCAACTATTGTACCGATACCAACATTAGACTTTGGATCGGCAAATGTCCCAAATAATGAAATAAACAGCTCCGGTGCGCTGCCTCCAGCTGCCATAAAGGTAGCGCCAGCCACATCCTCCGATATTTTAAGTCTGTCAATGATTACCTCCAAGGAAGGGACAAAAAATTCATCGCACGCAAGTGCCACGGCAAGAAATAGGTAGCATAGGCCTAAGATGTGAAGCAAAACGGCACCGTGTCTTCTTTCATGTACAGTAAAAGCATCTTCAGGATATTGGCCTTCAGATGCGTTTAGAATGGAGCGTTTATGAAATAGCCCGGTTTGATATTTGAAATAAACTTCCTGGGACGGCGCTATTTTGTTCGCGCCGTTTCTCAAGTATTCGTAAATGCAATACCCACAAAGCAGAAGTATTAKAATTGCTAAATATGGAATAACATAAGAAAGTACTTTTCTCCTTGTAGATGTGTACAATCGAAAAGTCCCCAGCTTCCTGGCATAAGCTTTATGCATGTTGCCTCRAGCGAGTGCTCATCCAAATGTTCAAACCAAAACAACTTTATAAGTCCTTGGACGTAGACAAGGTCGACATCTCTGTGATTCTGCAATTTTTTCCATGCTTTTCGAGTGCACTTTAAGATAAGATATTTTATGTCTTCTTGTGTAGCGATAATTCTTCTAGAAGAGCCCACATGAAATGATGTTATCCTTGGTAAAACCAAAATATACACGGCACACACGACCGCGAGCTTCTATTGAAGTTATTTCTTTTCTCTGCCTTTAAAAATAGAATCAACACATCAGTTAGACAGAGAACAATCTTGAATACAGCAATACAGTAGACATTATGACAATTTTCAGTCTAATGCACTGATATCTGTCATATATTGTGAAGCATCCAGCACGGTGCGTGGCAACCACACAATTTTTTCTAATTTATACAATGCCCCATAGTCCCTTGCGCCTCTTTCTCATATATGTGYCTTGAATTATGCATAAGCTTTTTATATAACATAATTTCTATAATCCATAATTTATATATTTTGAAAATGGCACACAAATATTGAACTAAAGCGCGGCTTTTAGATAATTTAGAACGGCATAAATAAAGTTATAAGTATTTTTGTGACTTGTACACTTTATGACATCCAAGAGATTTGCGGCAATGTCCTCTATGTCATTCTTATGAAGGCTCCATTTTTACAAACACAATATTTAGTATTCGGCGAGATTATAATAAAAATTCGCAAAATGATCAACAATGCTGGAAGTCGGSTTTATGTTATGAAAACATTATTTTTGATCACTATCGTTATTCCCTCGTCGACGTCATCTCCATAGCAAGATTGATCGATTCAACGAAAAATATGAAAAGATATGCTGATTCTAACAAATATACTTGTCTTTTCAACAAGTAAAACATGTTAGAATATATCGTCGTCATTCTCATTTCTTTCTTTTAATCTTTCTCTCTCTTTCTTTTATTCTAGAATTCTTCTATTGTTTCTATTTGTTTGCTGGTCTGGTTCCATTTATACGTTTCTCTTTMCATTACTTCGCCGCTTGATTGATTGATGGGTAGTTGGATGGATGCCGCCTAATGCGGTATAAAAACTTAAAATCGGAAACAGAACATTTAAATCTTGTAATGAACTCCTCGAAAAAAGAACATACTAAAAAAAATCTACCATAAAAATYGTTGAAAGGGAAGTAATAAAATAAAGATGTTTCTCTTGGTGATCGCTCWACAGAATMACCATGGCAACTATCTCTTCCTCTTTGTTTATTTAACATTATTTCGTTGCATATTTGTTAATAGTTTATATTAATGAATCAGCGTTCCCTGATTTTGGAGACACTCGGCTAGTAAAGCTAATAACAATCTCCCAGCGAATGATCATTTCCACTAATGATGTCAGTAGAAAAAATTATTGAGGCAAGACRGACGCGTTGGCAAGACTTTCATGCTTTTCAAAATAATCGTTTGAAGGTTGCCGAAATTGTTAAGTTATTGCCTTCGACAAAAAAGCGGCAACCATAAACCTACATTAGCGCTACCTACAGAAAGGATTATGTCATTATTATCATTATATTTTTCTAAGAACCAAAGCAACTTCTTKATATCCTAGATCTCCTATCGCATTTCCTGATTCAGTATGGAAAGGAATGATAAAGTTATTCGATAAGAGAAGAAAACAATCAGAGAATAATACGTTTAATTAATTAACATATTTATTGGTTTGCCTGATCAATGTGGGATACGTAAAGAAAGCATATGCGCATGCTCAATGGTTAAATTGCGATCTTCTCTGTATTCCTAAGACTGACCTGCTTACGAACAATTCAACGAAAATCGTAGTTTATATGCACTTATTCAAATTTGCCGCTAGCCTCTATAGCAGCATGATTTAGAGCAGCATGCATGTAGATGTTAACTGTCTGGACATTCGCAGGTGTTTCTTCAGCCTTTGCGTGTGATGGATTTTCTGATCATTTTCCAAGGTCGGCGTCTCTCGTTTGGACGGCAAGCGAAGGCATCTCAAGAAACGTTAAAAAGAAAATGAAAGGGTTGCCCATGGAGAGTTCTAAATCTAAATCAATATGAGTTTCTTCCTCGAAAGAAGCATGATAGTTTTACCACCTGAATATTGTTAGTTCTTTCTTCGATTATTTCTGATACAGAAATTAGCTTCATTTAATACCGGACCCAGCATTTCAATGTTTATATAGAACATGTAGAAAGCTGACCGGCAACTCAAATTATCTGACTGTTATTTCCACTCCGCTATAAAAAGATGAATCATTTTGAAAAGGCGTGTAGTGATGCTTAGCATCATAAGAATTCCGTACTTAAGTGATGAAGTATATGGAAACTACTGCGACTACCCAAGGTTATCAAGATAGCTAGTGCACTTCAAGGCCCCGTGATATCTACTCAAGTGGATTTTCATTCTATTAATCAAAAGCTTGTAAAAGTGCTTTTCATAAATACGACAGAAATGATATACAAGGTGCCCTTTATGATTTCGGTGAAATTGAGCTAGAGCTTGATTGTAATTTGAAAGGCTCGAAGTSCGCTCACGGACCTCACGCACCGCGGTGTCTGAAATAAAACTGATAATGAGAATTTTTTTTCTTCTTATTTCTCAAAATTAATGATGAAATTTTTGTGTTTGCGTCGAAAAGCAAATGGACCTCTATTTGCTTTCTTAACGTCTGGCATTTCTCTTGCCTAAAAACTAGGGATTTAGTAAGATTTAGTCAAACTATTATATCGTGATGTCTGAAAAATTAATATCAAGAAATAAAATTTTTTTACCGTATCCGACTAGTCAGTGAAATTGAACTGCGTATTGGAACAATTGAATCCAGACGAAATCCCGATTGATAAAGAACTTGTTGGGATCAGTTCCCATGGAAACACAAGGAAAGTCATTAAACTGCCATTCKCCAGGAAAAGTAGTGAATTATTTAGGAAATATTGTGGAAAGCTGTCTCATTTATAGCCGTTTCGTTTGATAAGCCATCAGTTTCTTTCCTGCTGTAAGCCACAGGAAAAGGTGAATCAGAAGTTAAGGGAATCGCTATGATAAACTTCTTTTCCGTCGTGTCCGAAAGAGGATTAATAACTCCACATTCCAAATTTTGAAATTTCAAGATCTTAACCTACAGAAAACGTCCATAGTTTAATATTGATCTCATTATATACGATAGAAAAATCGGAGGTTTTCTTTACATAAGGACAACAGCATTAAAACAGCGTTATATGTGATAAGTTTGCATAGGTAAAGTTAAATATATAGCACTGTCAGGTACAACAACRAGTTTTAGTTCGTAGGGGAGATATATTGTTTGCTTAATGGAAATAATTCCTAGTTTATGTGGATTTTGGATTAATGTTTGATACGTGTACAGGCTAAATTTACCTACTACAAAAAACCACTGTTATGGTTTTCTATACTGGATAATGTACGGACAGTCCGACTGAGCAGACTGAGTCCAATGCCTTTAAGCTGCCAAAAAAATCTGAGCTTTCGTATGCATAATTTTCTCTACTCAGAYTCCTTTTATTATTACAATTTTCTTTTTATTTACTTTGGATAGCTACAACTTTTCCAAATCTTCTATTCAAATGTTTTCTGTGTGAAATACAATAATTGAGAGATTCTTTTCAAGAGAAATCGATTGCTTTTTGGCGGCAATTACCAACGTGGCGTGAACAGAGCTTTCCTCAAAAAAAGTAATTTAAGTTTAGCTCTTACAATGAAATGTGAAATTTTTAGTTTTATTATATGCTATGCAATTATAACCTAGCCTCTTGTTGGAACAATCAGTCTCCTGGTAATATATAATTTCAATGCACCAGCTAAAAATCATTGCAATATGCAGTAATGTAAGAATACTGTGCTTTTTAAGCGTTTATATGATTTCGAAAACCACTAATAATTTATGTATACATTAGTGAATATTAGCTTCCGCTATAACAAACAATTTTGCAAAATTTTTCGAAACAAAATTAGAAATGTAAATCGCGGTGTAGTGAGCAACGAAATTAGTTTTCCAACAATACAGTTTTGCTAGATGATTTCAACATTTCTCTGGGAAAAATGGTTTAAAATTCTTTTTAATATGTCCATAGAGTGCAATTAATTGACTRGTGAAGTTGAAAAGGAGTGAAATAAAGTCATACTGAAGGAAAAAAACAAGAATTAGAAAGGAAATTAATTAGGAATCATTGAGATGACAAACAAAAGACGCAGAAAAAAATTAACGTAAAACCTTTGAAGAAACTATAGAAAACCTGATGGAGAATGAGAGAAAAAGGAAAAAAAGTAAAGCGACAAAAAGGCAAAAAAAGTAATACAACTAAACTATTATATTCCCAATTATATAATGACTTTTTGCTAAAATCAGAAAGCTAACTCATTTTTTCATTGCAAAAATTTTCGTAAGTAAATCCTAGAGTACGACTGTAATAGTTAAGAGCAAATCCCCAGGTTTCCTGTACCAACAGAACATTCTTATAGTTTCATGAATAAATGATAATATTGATCTAACTATCATAGATCGATAATATCGGAAAATCTTAGTTGTTATTGATATGTCGCGCGGTGCCTGTGCAATTCAAAACAAAAAAGAATGAGAATTTATTTTCCCCTACCATGAATCTACCTCCAAAACGAGTTTATTTTATTCTGCATACAAAATTTTATACAACCACATGTTTTTATTTGTTGTCCTGTTTGAGAACAAGTTTGAAGCAAAAAAGATCGGCTGTTGTCAACTTTTTCGTATCAGGCAACCGATGAAAAATTGCTTTGTTTGGACCCGTTATTTTTACTCAAATACTATGTACGAATATGAATAATACTTTCACCGAACGAGGCTAAATCATTACCTTCTTGATAATTCCCACATCGCAAACAGGAGCTGTATTACGGGAAGTAAATATGATTATTACTTTTTAAGAAAAAAAAGATTGAAGAGAATTAATGAAGAAGCCTTTAGAAGTATTGTAATATAACCTGAATCTGAATTAATCTTGATCGTTTTTAATCCCAACAAATTTTCGTTCGTGTTCTATAGCGCATTTCACAACCATTAAATATCGTCATATGTTGACAAATCTCCCCAGTCTAAACAAACCGATATTTAAGTTATTTAGCCCGAGGATAGTCATAAGAACTCACTTTTTAGCTGTATRCTATACAAACAAACTGAAACCTTCTGTATTTCAATTGGCTACAAAAAATACATGTATTTGAGGTTTTTTATATTTTTGCGATGGTATACTTCTTTCCGATTTTTAAATCATTTTTAGAGTTTGATATTTAGCCATATCAGTTTTCCGCCCACAAATTTAGACGTTTTTTCGTAAAGTGAAAAACCGGGTTTCCCCCAGGGAAATAATGTTACAATTTGCAATATTCGTTACAAGTCTCGAAGGGATTGTCGTATGTCGTTCAGTTCGCGAGACAGGTGGGAATCGAGCTCTACCGAGATTTYAAAGGAAAAAATAAATAAAAAAGCATGAATAAACAAAAAACACAATCTCAAAACTCACTGATAGACGCATTTATAGTCAAAGACATGCAAATGGTTTTATAATTTGAACTTTAAGCAGATCAAACTAGCTATGGGGCTTTATTTTTGTCATTTCAACTTCAATTTTCAGTATTTTTGACTCTCGAGAATTACAACTTTCGCGCATAGCAATATCCCCGCGAAGATTCACCTTTTCCGCTGTTTTCAAATCTCGAATAAATAGTTAATTCTCTTAGATATTAAAGAAATGCATTACACAATAAATTTAATAAATCCATTATCAAAACCAAAAACGTTCAGAAGGTCACCGTACAAAACTACGATTCCCCTATAGTCTATACAACAAAGGAAAACCCATTCTTTTAACGGAATTGCGCGCCAAATTTTGTATGCAATATCGATAAACCAGAGCTGATAAGCGATATACCTTACCATTATTCCATAACGCCTTCGCCAAATAAATATATCAATATATCATGAACAAAAATATTTGTACTGTACAAAAAAATAGAAGACATTGCCTGTGTCATGCACCTTTAGTTTTCAGTTAYCGTTTTCAGTAAGCTCTTTCAATTTGCCAAAAACTTTCTTCAATAGTAAAACTAATCCTCAGAGAATGATATAAATTGATTTAACTTACCGTTAGATGGGGAAATTTATCGCTAGGAATACTGTAAATGAGAATCCAAGCTAATGTTGACTCTCTCTCAATGTCGGTTTCTGATAKCAATATAAGTACATAGTGTTAAGACCTTCGGCGGCGTTATTTTTTTCAATCAATTTTCGCTTACCACCGTAGACAGCCGAGCGACTTGAACGAGGTCTGATAGTTGTGAAACTGAGCTAGAACAGGGGTCTGTGTTCACCGCATTTGGCATGAGCAAACTGACCCGAATGTAAATACCCCAGCATACATAATTGATGGCAAAAGTCTTGCATACAAGAACACATTGCAAAAAAAAATATGCAGGGTGCCTTTACAACAATTTCCACAGAAACTGACTACTTATGACGCGAGAAAGGACCCCAACCGAGAAAAAKTAATTTTTTCCTCGGCCCCACAATTCCCTTTTGAAATTAAAGTTCCAATATATAGTTGTTCTCTAGTTATGCGGTCGAATTATTAAGGTAGAGACACATTAGGCGAGAAAAGAGCTCGATATCTTGTCTCGTTAACAGTGCACTCACAGCAGCTGTCGAGTTTAGTGGATTTAAATTAGTAATTTTGTTATGATGAGTTGCCAGGGAGTTTTTGAATGGCTAGTCGTGTTTACCGACTGACCATCTCAAACTGAATGGAAAATTCTATTTAGGAAGAATTACAAAGCCAAAAAAAAGGAGATTTATGCCATTAATGAAGCAGTTAAACTGATGGAATTAAACTGACAGACAATACCTTTATAGGAATCTACTTAATGCCGGATTCACAAAGGGAAAAATGGAACTTTAGGCATATTACAATTTTTATAATGTTCTTTTAAATGYTGAATTCGTTTGTTTTTTCCTTTCTTTCGCAGCATATTCATCGTTTACTTTGACTGACTTAATAAAGCCAATATCTTAAAATCCCAAAAACAACAACAAAAGGACTTGACATTTACCGATATAGCAATTAAAAGTTTCTTCAATTGGAAAGATGCCATTTTGGACAAAGATAATTCTAATAATAGGAAGAGTCATCTTATTGTTTTAAAGTACAAAACATTGAGCCATATTTTTAAATTTTAGTGAAATATTTTTTCTATTTTTGCGGTCAAATTTGTTTACAGCTCACTAGTCGGGATCTAACGCTTAGAGAGCACAGAAGCGCAAACACAAAATGTCATTTTTTTTCTTTTTTGCGACTGCTCTTGTGCTTACGGTTTATTTTGCAGTAAAAAGAAACAAAACGCACATTGTGCAACTTTTTGCGCTGGCCTCTGCGTTTGTTTTTCTGTAGCTAGTGAGAAATTTCACTCTTAAAAAACAAAGCAAATGACATTRAATGCCAAAAATCAATCTCAAAGTTGGCCAAAATTGATGAATTCTTATTAGACGTTAAACTCGTTCGGCGCACCCTCCATTTTKGATGATTTTTCGGTCTGGTGATATCTCAGGAGAAGATTTAAAACTGTTTGTTGCGCATTGCGGATTAAATCTAATGAACATAAGTTTGTTGGTCAGTAAAAATGATAATTACTTTWCAAGACAGTTAATTGAATAGGTTCTTAACCTCATTACCAAGAAAAAGACAAATTGGAAATAGAAGTAACGMCAACSGCTCCTTACAATTGCATGCTAATTGTCAATTCAAAAAGGTAAAAAATAATAATAAAAGTTTAGGGCTTTGGTAAGGCTTCATTAATTACACTGAAAACTGTCTCGAACATTTGTACAAAATATACAAGTATCCAAGAGTATTTTGTTATATCAATAATTCTGGTACTTGACTTCTTGGCTAGGATTCATTTATGTTCGTCTATGTAGGATGAAAAATCCCTKCGTTGAACTAAATTRTAGTTAACCAAATCGGCTAATACTTCATACTTCAATTCTCAAATGTCCTGAATTTGATGTAATTAGTCGTACTCATGAGCTTCCGTTTATTAGAATCTCATTTACACTTGCTGGAGAGCACTTTGCTCGTTAGGATTCCAGAAACAATAGAGATGGCAGTACACTGTACACTAAACCAATTTTCGATTCTTTGTGACTGTCGAACAATATCATTTCAAACTTTTAATTGTAAACAAAGTGTCTTCTGGCATTTTTTTACATATTAGAGTGACTTCGGTAAAATATCCTATCTTTTCTCTACTTGTACAGTTTTTCAACAGTTTTTCGGATTACTTCTATAATTAACTAGCTCTTAACTTGATTGTTCACTATCACAATCTGTTCCTCGACCAGATGTTACAAGAGAAAAACTGTATTTTTCAACAATGAGTTATTTACCACTATATCGACAAGGTTCTTTTTTTTTACATTCTGTTAATTAAAACTCAAAAAATAGAAAATCTGTACATAATGAAGTTTACATATTTCAAAGAAAATTATTGTCTATCTACAAATGGGATTCTGACCTCGAAGTTTCTCTATTACTGACATGTTGGGCTGCCGTCTCGTGTAGAAGAAAATGTATCCTTTGCATTTCAAAACGTGGTCTTCATCTGTTCGCGTTACACTACTGTCATTAAAGTTATACCAGGAGCCTAGAATGCATTTAATAATGATTATTTTTATCATTTATAAACATTTTCAAAAGATTAAAAATTGTGGGGAAAAACTATTAATTGGCTGCAAATACAGACTCGAACATTCCAAGCATTAGTGCGCATGATAAATGTTTGAAATATATGCAGGTTCCTCTATCTAGAGCTTTATAAATAGTGAAACAGCACTTACCATCATGACAAGCAAATGTTGTGTAGTGACCAGCACTTACCCTGTAAAAAACAACAACAAAAAACAAACAAATAAATGAATAAATACATAAATGAATAAATACATAAATAAATATATGAATAATTAAACAAATAAATAAATGAATGAATAAATAACAAAAACAATTAAACCAATCAATCAATCAGTAGATCAAAACATTAGCCAATCAATCATTAGGGCCGGCAATCCATTAGACTTTTGATGGAGTGGGGGGAGGGGGGGGTGGGGGATGGAAGATCTAGTTGGTGCAAGAAATTTTTTCTGACTTCAGGCACATGCTTGCAATTTTTTTTGTAAATATATAAAAGATTTAATTTGAGTATTTTTCAAAATGTTGCCTTGCAGGAATTTTCTGTCAGCCCTTCAGGCCAAGCAGGAAATTYATTTTCAMAATCCCCCAATCCCCCCTCAAACTTCTAATGGATCGCCCCTTAGTCAGTCAGCTTGTCATCCAATSAATATTGACATACCCACTGCCATGGTGTACTACAACAGCTGCCAGGTCATATAATATTGGCTTCCTGGCATCTTTGTCCTGCATGAACAACAATTTAATGCAAAACATCAAGAAAAACTAAGAAAAAATATTTAAGTCTTAAGAAAAAATCTCCTCCTATAATGTTGAAATTTAATCATGTAATTGAGAATTTAAAAAATACAGAATTTTTGTGAAATCATAGCAAATGGCTGTAATAGGTTACCTGAAGAACGTATGGTGACATGTCAAGCCCTCTCATTGGAAATTGTACATAAGTTTCCAACTTCGTTCGTAAAAATGATTGAAAACGAAATCTTTTCAGTTGAAGACAAAGCACCTATATGTAAAGAGAGACATTAGTATTCCAGCGCTGACAGTTATTATGTATTATGTATATTATGTATTATAGTGCATTTGTCAATTAAACAGTGAAATGAACTGTTCATGATAATTTAGGTACAATATTCTTTGAAGGGAATTAAATCATACTGCGATAAGACTCATGTTGTGCTCACATTTGGTAGTCTTTTAATCCAAAATTTCTTTGTCGATTTCTGTTTCAAGTTACAATTTGGACACATGTACAACTCTGATTCYGCTAAGTTTTCAAGTTCTGCAAAATGAGTCATACAGTCTGGAAAACAATGAAAAATTGGAGTTAGTTGACAYAAAAACAATAAACCTAAGGTTACAAWATATTCYKGGCTCAGAATGGTTACATTATGGAAACTAAGATGAAAGAAAGAAATGRCTTATGCTCCCACACATTTTTCCATTTTKAAAAATTCACATCTGTGTTGGTTGTTATTRGAACTTTGTAGGATTTTACACAGCTTTTAGGTGAACATATTCTTTAGTATTTCATGGGTCATTTTTGTGTATAATACATATCAGTCTTGTGTATTTTCACCTTGAATTTTGCATGGATTTTCCTTTGACTTTCCCTTTCTAGTTTGGTACGCAGGAGGAATTTCTAGAGAAAGATCTAAAACAAAAAAAAGATCAATTTATTCATTAAAAATATTATTTACAGTACACAAACTTGCRAGAGCACATCCATAATAATGTCCATCATTGTCAATCTGTTAGTGCAGCCAAAACCCTAGATAATGTTTAGAATAACAATGTTACACCTTAATACTCTTCACTGTCTTCAAAAATGATGAGTAATATTGGTGAATGTATTACCTAAAAATGGATCTTGTGTCTTAGATTCTGTCATGCACGTCAGACAAGTTACCTATAATAACAAAAAGTTATRAAGAATGCCTTAAAAGTCAATTTTAAACTTACAAAACAGAACARCAATTGARCAAATCTTGAATGCTATCAAAAACATRWATTAATSTGATGGTAAATKTATCCACCCTTTGTAMAACTTGAGCTTRTAAATCAAAAACTTACTTCACTTTGTAAAATTCCACCAAATATTCCAGTAACTATTGTTTCTTTGCCAAAGCAGGCTTTCTGTGATAATATGAGCTCTGTGTGTACTCTGTCCAGCAGATAATGCATGAATTCATGTGCATCYTGCTGTTGGTATCCCCTWAAAATACAYAAGTAAAAACCCCTATCAAACAGACATTACATACATAGATACTACAGTCAACTATCTCGTAAGCAACTACCTCAGGATCAGGAAAAAGTGGTCGCTTACAAGAGATGGTCGCTTACAAGAGAGCTTTTTTACAGAGTTTATATATGGGAAACAATTAAAACAGTAAATTTAAAAGGTGGTCGCTTACAGGAGATGGTCGCTTACTAGAGTGGTCGTTCAAAGAGAGTTAACTGTATTAGAAATCCCTCAATAAATTACTCATTACAACAAGTTATAACCCAAGTAAAACCTAGCATTAAATATTAGGYTTACCTGAATCTAGGTACAACCTTCCACACTACATGAAATAGTGAATCTGGTGAGTGACTAACACCTCCGCCTTGCCATAATGCACACAGAACTTTTCGAAGTTCTTCGACAAGACACCTAAATGATATTGATATGAACACAGAGGTAAACAGAAATGCTGATTCAACTCAAAAATAGAAACTTAGTCGCAGGAGATAAAAATTAAAAAAAAAATTCCCCTAAACTAAGACAAATTCAAAACTTTATCTCACCCTTCATCAGGTTTTCTACTCCTAGTAAAATAAGGCATCTTTTTTAGRGAGTTTTCTGATCGTAATTCAAATGCAGGTAAATCCTTGAAATAACAGCTAAATGGCTGGATATTGCTGGAGAAAAAAATACCAACATCAATAAGGAATACATCTCGAACTAGTCGCAAAAAATGGCTTGGACAATTACATAAATCATATATATTTTTAAGCAACATTACGTTTTCAAACACATGTTTTCAAACAGCCCAGCAGACTACTTCAAAATATTCAACCTCAAAAYGTTCTCTCAACTATGTAATTTGTTTCCTAACCCCTCCCCCTGAAGAAAACAGTCCTCGCCAATATTCTTTGGCTCAGGTGATAAGATCTGTGGAGCATATTTAAACAGGGACATTCAGCTATAATATGCTGTAAAATACCTTAATGATTGAAGAATAGCATTCATGAAACATGTATTGCCAAGATTTCTAAGTCCTGGMAGCTGTTTGACTCTACCAACATTTTCTTGCTAAAAAGTTGAGACAAAGATAATTAAGAATGACACACAGGCAGAAAGTCTAATCACACAATCAGCTAACATAAGGACAGTTAAACACAAAGGGAATACATACATCTACTTCTGGGTGTTTTCTTGATTTGCCATGATGTTTGCATTCATCGTCAGCTTGAATTTTACGTTTTCTAGGACTTTATAGAAAGAGCAAGAAATGAGGAGARATTATTCTATRAATTGGGCTTCCTGTGTTCCAATAACCACAGGAAGCCCACAACATTTAATCTTCTCTTATTTGTCATTTTTTTCTAACAAGATAAGTWAAGTGGACTTTTCTTGTAAAAGGAATTTAAAAACACAATCAATTTGTATTGAAATTGAATCTGAACTCTGGCATGATTTATCAAAGTTTGCTWKTCAACTTGGAGACACTGGAACACAYTTGAGAAACTTTATCCATACAGTTAAAGCAACTGAAATGGTCACTATGAAATTTGAACTCCCCTTGTGTCTACATGTACATAGTACATTAGAATGAATGACGTCATACGGACAAGAAGTACTGATGCATTGTGGGTATAATACAACATGGCCGACCTGCCCCCAAAACAACAAATTACAAATAAATCGAACACGCAGTCGACAGMGAAAATAAAACGCCCCTGAATCAATAATGTKTGTACAGGCTAGAATACCGGTTTATTTTGAACTGACAAAGACATGATGTACACAAAAACATTGTAGTTGTAAGAGTTGGATGYAGTGTGATTGGTTTATCATTGGGATTTCTTAAAATTTCTATCTAAATATACCTATTTTGATGCTCCAAAATCATCTCTCGTATCTTCTGAATATCTCCACTCTTGTTATCGTTTATAATAAATTCGTCACAAGARTAACTAAAAGGAAAAACAACGAGAAAGTTTGCTTTATAATCAAAAGCCGATAACTGTGATATGAATACAATTTCGCGGTGTGCAACCGGAAAGCCAGAACTCGTGGTAGAGAGACAACTTACCAAAATGCGGCAAGACTCTGATCGAGACAGAGACAGTGGTGAGAATTCTTCTCGTGATGAGCCTTTGCATGAGCATTGACGTACCTTAGGAATGAAGGACAAAAAGTAGTTTGCAGTCAATACGCACAAAAATAATCCAATCTTAGCAAAGATTATGTGACGTTATGGTACGACCATTTACCTTCCACAGTTGATGGCACCACATCGTAGACAAATCCAAGAACTTTTCGAYGATCGACAAACTAGGCAGACATAGAATAACACAATATTTTCCACTTGTGACTCCAAAACTAAATAATTTCCAGACAGGAGAAAAAAAGTCATCTGGGAAAGTTGAGGAGATAAAAAGTTAGTACCTGAACAAGTCCAGTGCGAAGATTTCTCTGTACGAATCGTTCTGATCAACTGTGGACCAATTTTTACTGAATCGTTGACGTGGGAACACTCCATCGTCCAATTCTTGGGGAGGAAATCTTTACAACTTCAAGAAAATCAGTTCAAGTTGACCTTTATAAGTTCTCCCTATAAAATGTGCGAGGGTCACCTTGCAAATATGCGCGCGCGGGGTTGCGAACGGTTACAGGAAAATAAACCAATCATGACGCAGTTTATATCGATAAAACAATGTTCTCTGCACCAATCAGAGTTTTCGGTAAATTTCAAATTTATCAACCAACAAAAAATCGTCTTCTATTACTAGTCACAATAACCAATAAAAACACTGGAGATAATTTTTCATGAGAATGACATCACAGGATCCTGGAACGCCTTGACAAAAGTTGTTGTTCTTTGSTCCGAGAGAATTTCTTTGCACGGGATTTAAATTAAGGCCAAATATAATGGACATTATTATAACAAGCTAACGGAGTTTGACCACATATAGGTAGGCAAAACATTAATTACATTTCATGCGAATTATTGTATGTTTCTGTTGTAAATACAATGGTATTTGAGTGTTTTGAGAARTGCGAAGGAATGATGTTTCCATGATATTTCACATCAATTCAACTCTCTGTAATTGTTTATATTCACAGAAATGAAGATCCACTCTACTGAACAACCTAGTGAATATACCACTTTAGTAATATATGGTGTTATTGTACTTATTGCAGTTCATGTTCTTGCACTTGTATCCTTTGAATGCAATGTCCAAAACGTTGACAAGCTCTAGATTGAGATTGTAAATTCTTTGCTTTTCTAAATGATATTTCCTTAACGAGTTGATCACTAGGGTTACTGGTTGTTCACAATCATTAGGCCGCCAGACGAAGCTTCCTTCAAAAAGACCACGTCAAAGCTGGAGAAATTTCATTGAGTTAATCACAGAAATTTTTAAAATATATTCGAACTCCAAATCAGATGGTTTACAAGATTACTTGCTTTGTTATGCAATACTAGCTAGCAAGGCAAATAAACCAATTATAGTAAATCCTTAGCAAATTTGAACCTTTTGAATTTCATATCACATTTTATATTTCAAAAGAACCAAAATTGTCATTTTAGTAGCCTGGCTGTTACATTTAGAAAAAAATGTAAATATGACAACATCAAATTGCATCCAAGTAAGGACATACCCCAAGGGCTAGATTTTACATCATATGGTGTCTAGATGCCTGTATTTGGATAGGGATCTTTTAAACAGGAATTATTTATATAATCATATTATATTTCTATTGTGAATTTGAATGGTATTGTTACTGGAACTATAATTGTAAGATTCTGTCATTGAGATTTTGCATATGTTTTATAGAAAAATAAATATTTAGTATGATTATATTTATATTTAATTTTGTTTCTTTGCACAGGGTTYACCACAATAATAATAATTTCAAGAATATATCTGTATATAATGAATGTTTATCATCATAAGTGATTGTGATTYTTCTAAGGCCACCTCTCATTGGCTGTGATTTGTCTTTATGCCTTAGGTCAACCAGCATGTACCACTTTATTTATTCAAATGCAAAAAAAGTATCTTTTTGTCACCAAGTTAAGGAATATCCATTTAAAATCTATTTTCTCTTAATTCCTGAAAATATATTGTTGTTTTCAGACAGTCTTTTTTCTTATAGCCTGATTTCAGATGGGCCTTGGTCCCATCAATGCATACCTGGCTGGCTAATGTCTTACAATTTATGATTTTATTTTTCTCAAATGTCCATTTTATATGACTTTTCTTTTAATTCTTGGAACCCAAATTGGAGATTTCAAAACCTGAATTTTTTCAGGCCATATATGCATGACAATTTTTTATTTTTTGTAATATTGGATAAATTTTCTAGGAATTACTGTATACTGTTTGTTTGTATATATT